GGGGGGAGCTCCTCCCTTTGCCGCGCGCGTGCGCTGTGGCGCCCGCCCTCGCTCCGCTGCTCACCCGGTAGTCGCGCGCGCGCGCGGGGCAGGTGCCTGACGCGGGCCTGCTCTGCGACCTGCTCTGGTCGGACCCGGAGGCGGATATTACGGGGTGGGCGGAGAACGACCGCGGCGTCTCCTTCACGTTTGGCGCCGACGTCGTCTCGAAGTTCCTGCAGAAGCACGACTTCGACCTCGTCGTGCGCGCGCACCAGGTGCGGGAGGCGGCGGCGGGGCGGGATGCGGCGGGGCGGGATGCGGCGGGAGTTGCTGCAACGGGGCGTTGCTGCGGCGGGGCGGGCTGTGGCTGGCGGAGGAGACATCGCTGAGCTCTTTCCCCCCACTGGTCTTGCCGTCAGGTTGTCGAGGACGGGTACGAGTTCTTTGCCGACCGGCAGCTAGTCACCATCTTCTCGGCGCCAAACTACTGCGGCGAGTTTGACAACGCGGGCGCCGTCATGTCGGTAGACGAGAGCCTGATGTGCTCCTTCCGCATCCTCAAGCCGACAGAGAAGCACAAATTCGGCTTCTCGGCGAACCGGCCGCTGACGCCGCCTCGGAAGCGATGATCATCGGGCTCGACCTCCTCCTCTGGCATCTCTCACGGCGCAGCCGCGCCCAGCGCAGGGAGGCGTGGCCGGGGCGGCGCCCACGCGCACATGTATCTCATCATGTAAACGTCAGTAGCCGCTCGGGGACCGGCGGCCGGCGCTCCCCCTCCCCACCCCTCGCGGGACGGCCCGCCCGTGCAGAGGGTGCTGCGCCGTTCCGACATACGGCCGAGAAACTCCGCGTGTAATCCCATCCCTCTATAAGCTCTCTCTATCTACAAATATAGACGCCTAGATCTCGCGGCGAGACCGATCTTGGACTGGGTGCGCGTGTGGGGGTGTGCTGCGGGTCGTGAGGTCTCGGGGCCTCTGCGCTCTGCGCTCTGGCTCTGCGGTCTGCGCCTCTCCCCCTCTCCCGAGTGCCGAGAGCCTCTCGCGTGGCGCGCAACCGTCCACCGCGAGATCCGCGGACCGCGCGAGACCGAAAAGGAAAAAACCCACCGGCCACCGCGCCAGCCGCCACGCCCCCGCCGGGGCGCGGGCGGGCCGCGCCGCGGTTTTATGGATTATGCGTTTGCGGTTAGGGTTACCCGGTTCCCGCCCCATCCCCGATCCCCCATCCCGGTAGCGGTACGCGGTGTACGGTAGCCGGCCGGTTTGGCGTGTGACCGCGCACTCGTTAGTCTCGTTACACGTTAGACGTCGGTCGGTGTTACCGCGCGATTAGTGCGCGATATGGCGTGCGCGCGCGTGGCCTGGTACATGTTGGTGTTCATACTCAACTTCTCATGCATCGTCTGAATGAATCGTCTGTCTCTCCGCTCTGATCTCGGCGATCCCGCGATCCAGACTCAGAGACACAGTCACACATAATCGCCGACGGCCGTCAGGGGCACGACTCCATCCCGCCATTCTTCCAGCCTTTGTCCAGATTTGGTAGACGCGCACCAGGCGGTGGGGGGGCTTTTCCCGCACACGCCCGAATACCTTTCCCCCCCCCCCCCCCTCCCCCCTTGGCGCCGGAGGCGGATCAGCCAGCCGAGCACTCGTCGCTCGCAGTCATCACCCCCCGGACCCCTTCCCCCCCCCCCCCTCCCTCCCCGACCCCATCTCTACCCGTGCAACCTGGCGGCACACCTTGATCTCATGCACCGGAGGCTGATGCATGATGATGGATGATGAAGGATTGTGGTGAGATCACCCTCACCTCAGTCCAACTCAGCCGCGGCTGCGGTAGATGGGCACCGGAGGCTGCCCGAAAGAGAGCCCCTCGCAAGGCTTGTGCGCAGCGCCATGCGAGGCGGGCCGCCGGGCGTGCGCAGGTGGCCTGGCCGCTGCCTTGCGCGGCGACCGGCGCCCGCCCATGGCACAGAGGCTGTTTGTGTTTGCCCGGCGAGTCAGCGGCACCGGGTTGGGTCGCGGGGCGCCGGGCTCGGCGAGCGGGTGCTGCGAGAGCAGGGCGAGGACCGGGTCCGCTGCCGCTGCCGGCGGCGGCGGCATCGGCGGCGGGGGGGGCTGCCTCATCCCGAGCTGCGGCGGCGCGTGCATCGGTAGCTGCGGCGGCGGCATCGGCAGAGGCGGCGGCGGTGTGGTGGCGCGGTAGAGGGGCAAGTTCGGCGGCGGGTGGTTCGGCGGCGGGTGGTTCGGCGGCGGCGGGTGGTTCGGCGGCGGCGGGTGGTTCGGCGGCGGCGGGTGGTTCGGCGGCGGCGGGCGGTTCTGCTGCAAGCTGCGGCGTAGCAGGTGGAGCTGGTGGACGAGCGCCTCCTTCTGCTGCACGAGCTCGTTCTGCTGGTCGCGCAGGCTCGTCGTCTCCTCGGCGTGCAGCCGGCGCGCCCGCGCAAGCTCCGTTTCGTGCTCGCGCCTCTGCCGCTCTCGCTCTGCCTCGTGGGCGTGTCGAGCCTCTCCGATCGCGGCCGCGTGCTGGCGCCGCTCCTCCTCCAGCCCGCGCCTCGCCTGCTCGACCGCCTCGGCGCGGGCACGGCAAGCCTCGCCCGCCTCGCGCTGCGCGTCGTGCAGCTTCATCTCGACGCGCCCGCGTTCGGCGTTCGCCGCGCTGAGCTGGCGTCCCGCCAGGTCGGCTCGCTCCGCCAGCGACTGCGCCAGTGCGCGCGCCTCCCTCGCCTCCGTGGCCAGCGCCGTCTCCCTCGCCTGTGTCGCAGCAGGGGTGGGCGGTGGGCGGTGGCCGAGGCAGGATGGGTCGGGCACGGCTGCGCACGGTCAGCGCACCTTGCACGCGCTGATCTCTTTCCGCTGAGACGCGAGCTGCGCCTCGGAAGCGGCGACGAGGCTCCGCAGCTGCTTCTGCTCGGCCGCGGCCTCACTCGGGTTGAAGGCGGGCGCATCCGCGTTGAGCTTGGGCGGCGGCTTCGGCTTGAACTCAGGTGCCGCCGCGCTGAGCTTGGCCTCGCTCGCCGCGCTGTCGCTGCGCGCCGTACCGGCGATTGCGTGCGTGCCGTGGTAAGGGATGGGCTCGAGAGGAGTAAAGGCGTTGTGCGGCGGCTGCGCCCCAATGAACGCCTCGGCGTGAGGAGTCAGATCTGGCGCGGGGATGAGCGAGCTCGGGGTAGCTGGGCTGAAGGGCGCCGCGTGGTAAAAGGCAGCCAGGCGGGTACGGTCGGCGGCCATCTCTTCCTGCAGAGGCAGCCTCCCTCAAATCGCCCAGAACAAAAAAAATTACGGCGGCTGGCTGGCCACGGGGCACACATCCCTCAACACCCACGTCACGAACGTCGCCCGCGCCTTCGGCGCCTCGGCAAAGGTCATGGAGGTGAGGCTCGGCTGCAGGGACCCGACGCAGGCGCACGATCCGGACACCAACCCGTACCAGAGGGGCGACGGCGTCTTCGGCAACTATGCAGAGTCGGCGCGCGCCGTGGTGTACGACGGCACGTGCGTCACCGCGGTGCACCATGACAGGCTGCGCCCGCTGGCGAGCGGCAAGCGCCTAGCCACCGACTACGCTGAGGCGACGAAGCGGAAGGCCAAGGCAGCGGCGTGCGCTGAGGGAGGGTGTAGAGGATGTAGAGTGTAGAGCGCTGTAGAGCTGTAGAGATGTAGAGCGCTCTGGAGCGCTGTAGAGCTGTAGAGCTCTACATCCGCCGCGTGACGAGGCGCCTGCGTTGTAGAGCGATGTAGAGCGCGATTTTGTTGTAGAGTTTGTTGTAGAGGCTCTACAGCCAAACCGCCGGGAAGGCAGTGACTCAAAGAGGTCGAGCCGCGCTAATGGGGTTTTACCGAGCTTAGTGAAGCTCTGATGGACAGCCCTGACTATCCCTGACACACAGAGAGTCCCTCTGACGGCACACAACACCCTATAACTGCGTCATGAGCCTGCCATGTGTCGCCGGTGCCGCATTCGTCGCTGTGCTTCTTTAGCAGGCGGTGGACTGTCGGCTGCGAGGACGGTCGCATTTGCGCGAGGCGAGGCGAGCATTCAGACGCCTTATCTGCGCCATGACTCGCGCCAGCGCGTGCGGGAGCTCCTGGCTGAGCGTTGAGTCCAGGCGAGTTGCGCTGGCCACGATCGCTACGCCGAGCCGAGCTGACGCGCCGAGGCGCCGGCCAGTCGCAGCCGTGAGGCATGCCACAGCAGCAGAGGCATCTGCCACCCATTGGGCGGGCAGACAGAAGGCCAGGGCAGCACTGGCAAGTGCAACGCGCCTCATGTCGGAGAGCGACCGTGCCTCGTTCGCCGCTTATGATGTAGAGTTTGTTGTAGAGATTTCACGTTGTAGAGCGCCTCTACATCGCTCTACAACGCAGGCGCCTCGTCACGCGGCGGATGTAGAGCTCTACAGCTCTACAGCGCTCTACATCTCTACAGCTCTACAGTGCTCTACACTCTACATCCTCTACACCCTCCCTCAGGGCGTGCGACGCCAAAAACTGCGACTTTATGACATGGGCGGCGAGCACGCGTGGCGGCATCGGGCACGAGGCGGCGACGTGGTTCAACACCAACTTCGACATCAAGGCCGCTAAGGCGTCCTCCGACAGCGAACGATGGCGGGTCAGTAGCGAGCGCAAGCGCTTCCTGCAAGTGCACTCGGCCATCGTCGCGAGGCGCAACGCCGCCATCTTCGACTACAACGCGTGGCCGAAGATGGGCGGCGAGATGCCGCGGGCGCCTCGGGAGCAGTATGAATAGGGACGGGCGAGGGAGGAGGGGCGCTAATCACGGGCGACTACGAGTCGAAGGTTCGAGGACGACTACTCGCCGCCTGGGTCGTTTGGGGCGCGCGGCTCCGTCGAGGACCGGGCGCGCTCCTCACCCGGCGCGGCGTAGGTCCCACTCTGACGTATAGAGGGGAGGCACGGACAGCAGCCCGATCCATCAATTCCACTCATCTCCTGGTGCTCAGCCCCGTGCAACAGCGGTCCGGCAGGCTGCCCCCAAGGCCCCCCGGGCCGCTGCGGGTTTGGGAGTTATGCTTAGGCACAGCTTCGGCGATGGCAGCCCCTCTCTGGGGTGTTGCATAGGCGGGAAGTCTCCCCCGCTGGTCTCCTCCTTCCCATTTTTTCTTTTCTTTTGAGAGCAGGACGCCGGGTTTGTCTTGTATGTGCATGTCGGGCCTGGGTGTGTGTGAGGGGCAGAGGGGCGGGAGCGTGCGGGGCAGAGGCCCAACGTCGGGCGGCTTGTCGGGGTCCGGAGCATTCGAGGCGGGAGCGAGGAGGGGCGGATGGGCGGTCGGCGTCGGGGTAGAAGCAACAGGGCGTACGGGGTAGCCGTCACTCTCCTGCCTCACAAGGGCGGGGCTGTCCCGGAAAGTGAGAGACGCCGGGCAGCGTGGCGCATTACTGAACCCTCCCATACGTGCTTGTGCTCCTCCTTCGCTGTCCCATCTCCTCATCTCTTTCCCGCCTGGGCGGGGCAGCGGGTGGGCGCGCGGTGCGGCGTGGCGTGTGAGTGTGTGCGACTGCAACGACGGACCGCTCGCAAGGGACCATTGGGTTTGTACTATTAACAACGAAGGCGCTCTCAAAAAAAATTTTAAAATCGCGGGCTTGCTCAAAGTCCGCAGCAAACCTCCGTCCGGAAACGCAAAGTGCTGCTGCTGGGGACCCTCTCACTCTTTGGTTCCCTCTGGGTTGCCGGAAACTCTCGTACCAGGCCAACGCAAGAGCGCCGACTGCTGCCTACTTACTCGAGTACGGCCACGGTGCGTTACATCCGCCTGGCACACCGGGGCCGGCGACGGGGGAGGCGAGCTAACTGGACAAAAAAGTAATAAACGGCGAGCACTGACATCGGTTACATGGATGCGACAAGTTTGCAACGCCGTGCACGGCCAGTTCCCGGGATGTCCGCGAGGCGGCGCCAGCGCGCCGAGGAAGCGGAGGCCACCCCGCTCGCGCCAGAGGCGGACGATACCCTGCCGGCCGCTGCCCCGCCCGAGACGAGCGACGCGCAGCGGCTCTCTCCCGCCGCGGCGGAGCACTTGTTCCCCGAGCGCCGGCCGCCGACCGCCTTTGAGCGGCTCTTTGCGGCGGTGAATGGTGCAGTGCGGCCTCAGCCACCCAAGGCGAGGCACGAGATTGCCAGCTCGACACTGCTGCAACAGCTTGTCTGCGCCAACTCGGTGCTCTCTGCCCTGTGGGCCGCCGGCTGGATCTGTCTCTTCCTGTGGAAGGCGTCGGTGTGGGAGCCGCCGCTGCACGTGGTGATCCTGTCGCCGACGCTCTACATTGCGTGGGCCGTGTTTGAGCCGATCCGTCTGACACTGGGCTGCCTCGGCAACCTCCACGAGCGGATCGAGCTGCTTGGTCCGTTTATGTTTTCAACGCTGGCCGTGGTGCTCTCCTCCCACCTCTGCGCCGCCAGCCTCCGTGCCCTCTCACCAAGGGGCCGGCCACGCTAGGCGGTCATCCACGTCTACTTTCTCACCGCTCAGCACTACCTCGGGTGGATCACGCTGCAGGTGGAGTATCCGATGTCGGTGCGCCCGCTCGCACCAGCCAGCTCGCATTGGGCCCGGACTGCGGCCGCAGACAGCGCCCATGACCATGCCCTCACCAGGCGCTACTGCTCTGCATCTACGTTGCAGAGCTCGTTGTCGGTTGGCCTACCGCGAGACTGTTCATCCTCAAGGCCGAGGCCAACTTTCAGCTCGTGAGCGCGGGCGACCTCGACGAGCGGTGACGCACAGCTCCCCGGAAAGTGTGTGACTTTGAGTGAAAGTCCCTGTATGCATGTAGAGCTCAGAGAGAGAACTTTACGGACCGGTAAAAACTTTAGGAGGGACCCGCTGTGTGTGAGCTGTGAGGAGACGAGTGAGCTGTATAAAGGGTCCGCCTTTTTATGTTTTTCGGGCATTCACTACTGAATGACGGATATTCACACGAGCGCGGACGAGCGGTCGAGCGGCGCGGGGCCGGCGACGCGCGAGCCACGGGCGGGCCCGGTCGCCGGTCCGGGACTCTGTAGTCTCGTTTTCTACATTCTAGCTGATTCATGCTGTCTGTCGTGCATCATGTGTGCGAGGTTGCGACGGTGTACCTCAGTCACCTTGTGCCACGCCGTCGCATATCCGGATTATGCGACTGTGGCATAAGGTGACTGATGCACCGTCGCATCATGACACGCTCTCCCGCACCTCTCTCCTCCTCCTCTCTCGCAGCGTGAACTGCAGGCAGCGTGTGGGTGTGTTCCGCAGGGCCTCACGTGTCACGCGTGCCGTTGCTCACATGCGGCCATCCGGCGTCCCGGCCGCGATCCAACCACGCTCCGGGTCACTCCCCCGCGCATCCCGCCCTGAGCGCCCGGCTCAGCGCGCGGACCGTGCACTGGTCGGTGGAGCAGCAGCCGCCGATGATCGCCTCGAGCCCCGACGCGCGGATGCGGCCCGCCCACTCCCCCGCCAGCGCGTCGGCAAAGCTGCGCTCGCCGCCGACGCACTCCCAGCAGCGCTCGGTCGCGTTCCAGGTACCCCCGTCGTTGGGGTACAGCACCACGCCGGAGAGCGCGCCCTCGGCCGCCGGCGCGAGCAGCGCATCAAGCAGCTCGTGCACAATCGCCGGAGACACGCAGTTGGCGCCGAGCAGGCTGCGCGCGGGCCCCCGTGCCGCAAAGGCGGCGCGGCACGCGGAGACCGCATCGGCGACCGGGGTGCCGTCGGCGAGGTGGCTGCCGTCGCGGCACTGGAAGGACAGCCACGCCGGCATCTCGCGCCACCGCGGCTCCGCCAGCAGCGAGAGGATCGCCCGCACCTCCGGCATGCTGGGCAGCGTCTCAAAGGCGAGGCCGTCGGGGCGGCGCGGGGCGTCCGGCGGCAGCAGTCCCGCGAGCCGCGCGCCGTGCCACTCACGAAGCGCCGCCTCGCCAAGTGCGTAGTCGCCGCGGTACTCTGAGCCGTCGGCGAGCGTGGCGCCGTACGGCCCGCAGGACACCCACGCCTCTGCGCCGGGCGCCGCCGCGTCGCGCGCATCGAGCGCGAGCTCGATCGAGGCGGCGAGCGCCGCGGTGTCCGTGCCCGGACTCGTCTGGTACGAGGAGGAGAGGATGACGGACGCGCCGGCGGCGTAATAGGCGTCGTGTGCGGCCCGCAGCTTGGCGCGGCCGGCGGCGTCGGCGAGCAGGCCAGCCGTCCAGAGCTTGGGGTACTTGGTGAGGTCGACGCCGTGGTGATTCTCGAGCTGGGTGGAGAGGCCGCCGTCGAGGATCTTGAGGCCGGGCCGCAGCATCTTCATTGGATTGGCGGAGGCTCCGGCCGTGGTTAAAAAATGCTCGGTTTATGACCCCCCCTGAGGAATGGGTGTGTTGTCGTGCTAGTGCCTGGTGTCTACTAGCCCCCGAGTAGAGGGGGCGTTCCGCTGCTAGGGGAAACCCGGAGCGCAGAGCTAACCCTCGGGGACCCGTGTTTACTTTACGGCCCTTTCCCTGCGAACGCGCACCCCCCAGGGCTAGGCCTAGGGCTCTCTTGCCCGCAACCCGACACCGATCATCCGGCCCGCTGGGTGCGCTTCTCAGCTCCTCGGCCCTGGATGTGAGGTTAATTAATAACTGCACTCCAAGTGCTCCAAGGTTTATAGCTAGGGGAAACCTGGAGCGCGGACTAACCCTCGGAGACCCGTGTTTACTTTAAGGCCCTTTCCCTGCGAACGCGCACCCCCGGGGCTAGGGCTCTCTTGCCCGCAACCCGATCCCGATCATCCGGCCCGCTGGGTGCGCTTCTTAGCTCCCCGGCCCTGGATGTGAGGCTGATGACTGCACTCCAAGTGCTCCAAGGTTTATACCGACTGCACTCGAAGTGTCCAAGTGAAAAACACACAGACCAACCTTTTCACGCATAAGCTGAGCACTGATAGTCGATTGGGCTAGCCTACACCTAGCTAGCGGCCTAGCGCTAGCGGTTTAGGGAGGGTCCTCGAGATTCCGACCGCCCTGCGGCCCCAGCTACCAGCTGGCGCCGCTCGGCCCGGCTGGAGGCGCCTGGGGCGCCCAAAATCGCGGAGCCGGCGACGTCCTCCGGCCAGCAGCCGGATCGGGCGTCCGACCCGCCCCCTCGGCGACCCGAGATGGTCTCCCCGACCCCCGAGGCTTGGCGCACCGCGGGAGGGGGGCAGTCCAGTCACCCTGCACCGCCCAGGCCGCCCTCTGCGAGCCCAGGCGCGCCGTCGAGAGTGCCGACGCGATGTCGACGATTTTGGCCTGCGAGACGGGGGCGAGGAGCGGTGTGAGGGCGCCATGTGCCCGGGCGACGGGCTAAGGGGCCGCTACACGGGCCGCAGAGCTTACCAGCACCGGCGCGGTGGCGCTGGTAGCGATGGTGCTGCTTGCGGCCGCCTTTGGCAGTACCTGATCGAGGGCTGACTCGCGACGGCGACGGGGCGGCGAGCCGGGTGGCGGGGTGCGGGGAGGAAGGAGGGGACGCGCCGCGAGAGGGGGGGAGGGGCGCTCTCATGTCTGGCTGGCCCGCCCCGACCCCCACGGGGTCGGGATGGTCGATGATGCTGCTCTAGGCGGTCGTCCCGGGTCGCCAGACCGGTCCTGCGGCGGAGTCGGAGGGTGAGAGGGGCAAGGGCACGGCCGTGCGGCGGAGGGGACTCGCATCGCGCAGCTCGCAGCAGCCCGAGAGGGCCCGAGCCCGGCCAGGGAGTTACCCACCGCTCGGGCCAAAGAGACAGCGTCGCTGGAGCTGCGCCCCGCGGCCATTTTGTACGCCCGATGCACGCCTGACCCGGGAGGGGGAGGGGTGGTCAGAGTTTGAGAGACGCGGCGGGCCGGGGAGAGAGGGGACGCGCGCGCCTTCGAGTACGCACTCGCGGTGCCGGCCGGCTCGCAGGGGCCGCCAGCGCCGCTACGGAGGCGCTGCCTGCCGGGAAGGTGCTCGGGAGGGGCGCTGGTTGCGCCCCGGCGGCGCCTGCGGCCGGAGGGACACGTGGGCTTGGGCGTGGTGAGCAGCGCGGGCGAGAGAGGGACGGCGCGCGGCTCCCAAACGAGCCGCACGGGCTTCGTCTGGGCCGCCGAGGCCACCACCTTGGCCGCGGCGGCGGGCGAGATGGCGAGGTGGGCCGAGGCAAGCGTTGAACGTGCCGCCTTGCGCCCCTGAGGAGGGACGAGTGTGGGGTGCCACGGGCGGGGGGGGAGAGGTGAGAGGAGAGCGGTGGTCACCCTCACGAGGGGTGCGCGGACGCCGCCCGCCCCCCCCGAGCCCGCCACTGACGGTGTGGGGGCGGCACGGTCGAGCGCGCTGGTCGGGCGAGCCGTCTGAGTCGCCCGAGCGGTGCTCTGCCGGCCGGCGGACGCGCCCGAGAGTGGCCCGAGAGGGCTCAAAATACGGAGCCGCTCCCCGGACGTCCCGGGCGCCTGGCACGCGGACCGATGGCCCAGCCGTCCTGTGCGTGACTGGAGCGAAGGGGGGAGAGCTCAGGAGGGCGACGGGGCAGGGAGGGGGGCGGTGATGCGGTGCGGCGGGGTCTAATCGGCGGCGTGAAGAGAGGAGGTGCCAAAAGGCGACTACAAAGAGGCCTCTACGGGTGATATGGTGCGCCACGACGGCGGGAGAGCTCTCTCCCGCCGCCCCGCGGGCCGCCTCGAGGGGCCGTGTAGCCCATGCGCTCAGGCGCCTCTGTCGCGGGCAGAAGGGTCGCAGTGAAGGTGTCTCGACCGCCATCTACAGGGAGCCGACCCGGTCGGGTAGGGGAGGCAAACGCGAGCGGGTGGAGGGCAGTCTCGACCCACCTACGGCGTTGTCGTATTGGAGGGTATGTGGGCGACCTTCCATTGAGTCAGAAGCGTCGCCGCGCGCCGCCATCGCCCGCTGTGTGCTTCTTTGCCGGTGAGCGCGCGGCGCAGACACCTATCGTCAGAGGGGGGGAGGGTGAAGCGCGAGCGTTTCGTCGACCTAGGAGCCGCGGCAAGCGGCATGTAGCCCACTGATAGCCCCAACCCAGGCCTCGTAGCTTCAGATCCCGAGCGCCGGGTCGAGATAGCCGTCGCGAGACCTAAACTCGAAAATAAAATGGTGAGTTCGCCGACTTGAGAACGGTGCTGCGGGGTTACAAGTTGACAACTACGTCGCCCCACCTTCCGCATCCATAGCGGCCCAGCTACCTCTGGTCGGTGGTCGACGGCTGTCGCGGAGCCCGACAGCCGCGACAGCGGCGGCCGGGCCAAGGCGGCGGCCGAGAGGGTGCTGCTCGTCGAGCCAGCGGCTGCCGCTGGCGACGAGGGGGGTCCGGGACCGCGTTTGGGGGCAGGTGGTGCACCGGCTCGATGCCGGGCGAGCGGAGCGCCCTCCAGTCGGAGCGGCTCGGGCGAGCGAGGCGGTGGGGCGCTATGGGCGTTTAGAGGGGCGCCCATCGCTTCTCGCAACTCCGCCACGCTGACTTTGGGACATCGACGATACACCCTCGAATATTTCTCAGAGATTTATTTTGCATGACCCGTCAGGCCGTCTGTCCCCGCATGCGTTGCGCGGTCCGCGCGGACCATGCATGGAGAGCCCGCGCGGCGCGCCCGCAAGAGCCGCGCGCCACACACACATCAGTCATCACTCGTCAGCCTCTGAGCATTTTTGAGGCGACTGATAGTGATACCCCGTCAGCGTCACCCAACTCTTATCTATCTCCTGCGTGCACCCGAGACCGAGCTCAGAGGTCGCGGTACATCGATCGAGCCATACACACAGCGTGACAGGAGAGCTCGCTGCCCCCTCTCAAATGCCGCGCGCCGACTCAAGCACGAGAATGCCCTCGTAAAACGACGGCTCGGGCGGCTTCGCGAACATCTGCGGCGGCCCCTTGGGCGGCCCTCCCTCGCCGTCCGCTCCTCCCGCCCCTCCTCCTCCGCCCGGCTTTGGCTTCCCCGCGCGGTCCTCGGATCCCCTCCACGCTTCGAAGGCCGCCTGTTTGCAGCAGACGGCGTGAACCACCTGCGACGCTCTTCCACCCCCCCCCCACACCCCTCCCGCTCCGCCCGCCCCCAACGGCGCGCCTTGTCGCGCCACACCGAGAGAGTGGAGTGCGTGAAGCCGTCGTCGGGCGCGCCGTCACGCCGCAGCAGCAGGAAGCCCTGGAAGCCGTCGCGGCTGGCCAGCGTGCTCTCGCGCGAGGCGAAGCGCTGCTCAAAGCCGGACTCCATGCCGGGCAGCACCTGCTCACCCGCAGGGCCGTGAAAAGGCAGACGCTTCGCCAATTCCTCTGCGAGGGCCGTGGTGCCGAGAAGCGGTTCATGGCGACGTACACCTCGCCGTCCAGCATCGCCTTGCCGTCGGCCTCAACCTCGCGCCACCCGCCTGTCCACAGCGGCGGACGTGAAGGATGCGTCCTCTCACCGCTCTGTCCGCCTCGCGCCGCCGGGTGCCGGGCGTTGGCGCCGGCGGCACCACCGAGACGGGCAGCAGCCCATCCCACAGCGCGACCTTTGGCTTGCCCTTTGTGTTTTGCATCGTCGCGAGCACCATCGAGGCGACGCCTCCGATGGTGCCGCCGCCGTGCGCCTCCTTGAAGGCGTCGCCCTTCTTCCACGCGTCAAACTGCGCCTCCTCCTCCCAGACGGTGCACGAGATGTAATTCGGCGCCTCGCCGTCCCACTCGCCCGTGAGCCGCAGCATGCAGAAGAAGCGGAAGCCGTCGAGCATGCCAAGGCGGGATTTGCGCTCGGCCCACCGCTTCTCAAAGGCCGCCCCGCGGCCCTGTTTGACGCGAAAACGGTTGGTCGCCACGTACCGCTCCGCGGCGACTGTCGGCGTCGCGCTCGGCGACGCAGTGTCCGTCTCGACCGCCATGGTGGGCACGACTGAGCGCGCTAGCAGCACGCGCGGCGAAGCCCGCGCCGCAGGGTGGACGAGGCTAGTGGTGGCGACGATGAACCACATACACATATATACACACAGTGTGTATGATGAGTCGGCCAGAGAGAGAGCGGTGCCGTCAAGGTGCGAGGAGAATTCTTAGGAGCGAAGCCTCTCTCACAGCACACTGGCACGACAAGGGCGCGGACTGGCGCGGACTGGCACACACACGGTGCGAGGAGAAAACGAATCCGTGCGTCTCCCATCCCTCCCTAGAGCCGCCCCTGCCACCCCTGTGTCAGTGTGCCTGTGGTAGGAGAGACTGCCAGCGACAAGCTGGAGGCAGGTCGCTAGACTGAGATGAGACCGCCAGTGGATGTGGGAGTCCACCGCGCTGCGAGCCTGTCGTGTCCCTTGTCAGGAGCAGGAGAGCCCCACCTGTCCCCCTGATCGTTCTTCCAAAATCCTGCTCGTGCAGGTGGGGACCCTGTCCTCGTCCCATCCCTCGTTTGGCGTGTCTGTTTTCTTTCTTTCTTTCTTTCCCTAGAATTGTCCGTTTTCTTTCTTTCTTTTCGAGGTGGCTGCGGCGACCGCCCGGCTGCTGAAGCACTACACGCGCTCCGGCGCGTGGGTTGAGATCACGCCCGGCAGCCCTAGCCAGGCCCCGCGCTCGAGCCCCGCGCCTGGCCGCGACCGCGCGACCGCGGCTCTCACTCGAGCGGAGCCCGACTGCGTTTACTCGATCGTGTTCGAAGTCGTCGAACAATGTACGACGTCGTCGAACACAAGTGGAGAATGGCCGTACTCCTCTCCACGAGCGATTCAGAAGACGTACCACGTATCGATTCCGTTTAGAATTTCAGCGCGCAGACGGCTGTCGGACCAGGTCTCTTCATTCGCCCGCCGTGGCGCGGAATTTTCGATTGAGAGACTATGGAAAGTTCACGTCATGACGGTTAAACGGGCTGTTAATGGTCGCGACATGGTCAATATGTCGTGACAGCGCACAGCGGCTGCGAAACGACAGCAGCAACGAACAGCAGCAACGGACAGCTGGTGACAGCTGGTGACAGCTGGTGACAGCTGGTGACAGCTGGTGACAGCTGGTGACAGCTGGTGACAGGTAGGTGTCACTGTCGCTGTCGTTTGCTGTCATGACAGCTCCCAGCTGTCGTGACAGCGGCTAACGGTCGTGACAGCGGCTAACCGTCATGACGTGAACTTTCCATACTCTCTGAAACTGTAGCGCGAATCCGCCAGGATTCTCGCCAGCTCTGCTGAGGGGTGGTGCTGGGCTTCGTGCGGGCGCTCTCTTGCTGCCACGGACCTTCGACACGGACCTCGGACCTCGCGCACTCGCGCAAAGCGAGCCTCCAGCTGTCCTTCCTGGGTGGGTGCATCGAGGCGGCGCCCGGTCCCGGTCCCGGTGCCCACCGGAGCAGGGCCCTAGGCCTGTGGTTGCGGCGGCCCGGCGCGGCGATCATGCACAAGGGTTCACATGTGGGGGGAGGCGGGCGCCTCAGTAGAGGGATGTCTTCTTCAACTTCATTCATGGTAAACAAAAAAGGAAAAATTGCAGTTTACTACGTTTTGAGCTTTTCTCTTGCAGATTACTACGCGCGGGTCAAATTGTCTTGCAGATTACTACACACCACACAATTCTCTTTGCAGATTACTACACACCACACAATCCACCTTGCAGATTACTACACACCACACAATCCACCTTGCAGATTACTACACATCACACAATCCACCTTGCAGATTACTACACACCACACAATCCACCTTGCAGATTACTACACACCACACACTCCTGAGCCTTCAGGGACCTCCCCACGCGCACCAAGCTGCTAACCTCACCAAGTCGCTCATGCGTCAGCCCGTCTGTAGATAGACTGCGGTAGACTCGTCTACCATGCCCTCGTGGTCCCGTCGGAACGGTCAGAGCCAGTTGTTACTGAAGGCATGGTGATGACGACAGCGGTCGTAGTCGCAGCGCCGGCGTCGAGCTTGCACTCCTTTGCCGTCGCAACCGACTCCAGCGCCGAGTCCGGAGGAGCTGCAATCTTTACCTTGGCTTTTGCCTGAGCGTCGGCAAACGCGCCCTATGTCCTGTGGCCACAACGATCGATGGTGGGTCGGATGATTGTCGTCGTCCACGACGAGGAGGTCCCCCTCGCAGAAGGCCACCGCGCGATCGTCAGCCATCGCGTGCAGGCAATCCGGCCAGACAGAAGAGCACAGCAGACAATGACAATCCGAATTGGCCAGCGAGTAGGATGACGCCCGAATCAAGTTTCAGCGTTCAACCAGTAACTGCAACCTCGGATTTGCAGGTTTAGGTATATTGTTGGCAGACAAGACTCAGAGCTCACACAGAATCACAGCGGGAGGAAAGCGGCGAGTCGCAATTCCAGGGGTCGTTGTGGCGCGTGCAAGCCCCGCAGAGGTGCGGGCGAGAGGGCGGCCCGAGCCCGAAAGGGCCCGCCCTCGGCCTTGCTCTACATGGTAACGGATAAGAAGAGAAACACCCCCGGACCGGGACGCCGGCGGTCGAGTCGGGACACGCTGTGGTTCAGACGTCCCCCCCCTCGACGCAGTCGAGTGACTGACATGAATAGGGGGAGAAAGTGTCCCCCACATATCACCACAGACGCAGCACAGGGGCTCCAATCCTGTCCGCCGGGGCCTCAGCTAGATCTCCAGTGGGGAGTGCGAGGGCTGGATCGACTGCAGCGAGAGTGTGGGTTGTGGACCGTCGGGATAGCGTGTGGCGTAGATGTTCTCCTGGAAGTAGAGAGGCTGATGTCTCTCGCCCTGCAGGAAGGAGAAACTCGGACGGGAGAGTGAAAACTCCTCCCTGCGGCATGTGCGCAGAACGGGTTGCGCAATGTGCGGCATCGTGTTGAGGGCTCGGGAGGGCAACGACGGCAGCGTTGCCGAGCTTGTACAGGGGCCTCAATCCTGTCCCCGATGGGGTGCGCCTCTCGCCGCGCGCGTAGCAGTCGGCGCGCGGGTAGCCTCAGAGATGCGCAGAGCGAGATGCGGTTATCAGCAAACCAAGCCCTGGGCTTGGATGGGCGCGGCGAAGCCGCGGCGCAGTGGATAGCGTGAAGAACTCGAGATCGCTGGGATCTTGAGCCGCCGCTGCCACGTGCAAGCCCCGCAGAGGTGCGGGCGAGAGGGCGGCCCGAGCCCGAAAGGGCCCGCCCTCGGCCTTGCTCTACATGGTAACGGATAAGAAGAGAAACACCCCCGGACCGGGACGCCGGCGGTCGAGTCGGGACACGCTGTGGTTCAGACGTGGCGGGCCACCCTGTCCAGAGAGGCATGGATGCCAATCTGGGGTCTCTCGACCGAGTCTGATTTCGCCTCGCCGCCTCCCGGTGGTGGCTGTAGAGCCAAAGCGGCGGAGATGGCGGGGGAGGGCGGGGGATCGAGGAAAGCACGACTCGCACCGACCCTTCACGAACCGAAAGGCTGCACCCGGGGAAGGCACAGTAATCCGGGCACGTGTTGGGCGCCCCGTTCCGTCTGGGGCTAGGTCGGCTCAGGGCCCCGTCCACTTGGCGCGTGATAATGGGGAGATGCCACCCAGGCCAGCCAGGGCAGGGGCGGGGGCGAGGGCGGAGGGCGGGAGTAATCTGCAAGGTGGATTGTGTCTGTGTAGTGATCTGCAAGGTGGATTGTGTGTGTAGTAATCTGCAAGGTGGATTGTGTGGTGTGTAGTAATCTGCAAGAGAAAAGCTCTTGCATTGTGTGGTGTGTAGTAATCTGCAAGAGAAAAGCAAAACGTAGTAAACTGCAATTTTTAAACAAAAAAGGGGAACATTCCTGGTACTTCCTTGTCGCGGAGGGCGTCGAATCGACTCGAAGGCGCCGCCCGTGATCGACGGGGTGCGTTCATACGGCTCACACGATGGGCCTCCTCGACGCTCTCAAGCAGACGCCCAGCACGGCCGATGCCATGCAGCAGCCGAAGCGCATTTGCCGCGCCGTCGTCGTCGGCGCCGGGCCGGCCGGCCTCCTCGCTGCAATCAACCTGCTCCGGCGCAGCAGTGACGAGGTCGAGTACCACGTCACTCTCGTCGAGACGGGTGAGGATTACGGCGTGCTCGACGCGGCCGGGCTCGAGAAGAAGCGCTCGTGGATGATTGGCCTCAGCACGCACGGCCTCACCGCCCTCCGGGCGGTACCGGGCCTGTATGAGGACTACGTCTCCCAGGTTGAGGCCTCGCCTGCTGCCGCTCACTCACCGCCGCCTCCCTCACCACTGTTTGCTCCTGCCAAAGGTTGGCGTGCCCATCGAGTCCACCGCAATCTACCTCGGCAAGACGATGATCGAGGCAGGCGCCGAGGACGTCGGCGAGAACTACGTCCGTCGTCCGACTCGCAGCCCTCTCGGATTCGTCCGGCACCGTGGAGCCGTCGTGGAGCCGTCCCCGTAGGCGACCGCTTTGCGCTGCACTAGTTGTGCCAACTGGCCCCTCGCCTCAGACCCTCTCGGAGCCGTGACCCGTAGGTCGTCGACCGCAACTTCATCGTCGCCGCCCTCGCGCGCTACTTGAACGACAACTTCCGCCGCTCAGGCCGCCTCACGCTTCGCTACCAGAGCAAGGTCCTCTTCGTTGACCCGGACGAGAAGCGGATCTTTGTGCGCGGCGTCGCCCGCCGCGCCGAGGAGACCCGCCGTACGACCTGCTCATCGCCGACCCTTCCCCGAACCTTCTCAGAACCCTCTCCCGTAGGAGGAGTACCTGCCGTATGACCTGCTCATCGGTGCGGACGGCGTCCGCTCCGCTGTCCGCGCGGCGCTCGTCGCAAACGAGCGCGCCTTCGAGTGCTCCGTCGCCGACATCTTCACCAACTTCAAGTCGCTGCACCTGCACCTGCCGGCCGCGGTGGCGGAGAAGAAGGTGGTCGTGCTGCCGCAGTGCCTCAAGGGCATCAACGGCGCTTGCCGCAGCGCGAGGCGGCGGTTGCGACAGGCGGACTGCTGACGGCTCTGTGAGCCCTCCTTTAGGCATCGGGCTGCCCGAGACGGGCGGCAAGATCAACCTCGCCTTTGGCTACATGCTCGACACGCCGTGCGACGAGGCGCTGCACTCGCAGGACGCCTCCGCCGCCGCCGCCGCCTCCCCACCACCACCACCACCAGCATCGGCCTCGTCGTTGTTGCCATAGGACGCCGAGGTCGTCGCGGCCTACTTCAAGGCCCACTTCAAGCCCTTCGAGCTCGACTGGGCCGAGGTGGCGAGGGTGTGGGTCGGCCAGCCCTGGTCCCAGACGGGCCAAGTCCACTGCTCCTTCTACCACTCCCTCAAGCTGCAGCTTCTCATCCTCGGCGACGCGGCGCACGCCACCTCCCCCTCCATCGGTCCGCCAAGGAGCATCGCCCTCCCCCGCCGCTCCCACGTCCGCGACACGCGCACGACGCGCCCGCAGGCCAGGGCATGAACACCGCCCTCGCCGACGCGGCGGCGCTCGACGCGCTGATGGACGCGGCCGCCGACGACCTGCAGGCGGCTTCCGCCCGCCTGCTCCAAGGACGTGGAGACGCGCGCGTGTGGGGGGGGGGTCTCTCTCCCCCACATCCCAAGCGCGACACCCGGCGCGTGGTGGACACCCCCGGCTCCTCTCGCGTCGCAGGCGGTGCTGCCCGCCTTCTCGGAGGAGCGCGTCAAGGAGGGCAACGCGCTGACCGAGGTCGCCTTCCACGCGTATTCGATGTCGCCGCACCAGCAGCTCCTCGTCACGCTCTCGCAGCTGCTGCGCGGCGCGCTCTCCAAGCGCGTCCCCTTCGGCCTGGTTGCACCCGACCCCCTCACAGAGGTCGGCAAGGGTGCCGAGCTCTCAACGCGCGCACGGTCGAGCTGTGAGCACAGCGTCTCTCCACAAAGCGCCGCCGCCTCGCACAGGTGCGAAGCTCTCGCACGCGTACGATGAGCTGACCCGCATCGGCCGGCTGCCGGCGGTCCGCGCCGTCAACGAGGCGGCTCGCCGCCGCCACTTTGAGCTGCGCACCGGGATGGTCAAGCCGCGCCCGTCGGCCCTCCCGGCGCTGCGGAGGGCGGGCTGCGCGTTCGCCGGCTTGCTCGCTGGCGTCGTGGCCTTTGCAGCGACGCAGGCCGGCCCCGAAACGAGCCGAGATGAGCCGAGACTGGCCAATATGAGCCGAGGTGAGCCGAGACTGGCCAATATGAGCCGAGGTGAGCCGAGGTGAGCCGAGGTGAGCCGAGGTGAGCCGAGGTGAGCCGGGGTGAGCCGAGGTGAGCCGAGGTGAGCCGGGGTGAGCCGAGGTGAGCCGGGATGAGCCGAGGTGAGCCGAGGTGAGCCGAGGTGAGCCGAGGTGAGCCGAGACTAGCCTCTGCGGCGACACAGGCCGCCTCCAAGCAGCTGATGGACCCGCAAGCCACATCTGACCTTTCCGAGACTGTTCCTGCCACCTTCCCTGCAGATCGTCTCCAAGCCGCTGATGGACCCGGCCGTCGAGGCGTGCAGCGACCCGGCCAAGTTCGCCGCGAGCAAGCTCCACCCGTACGAGCCGGCGCGAGATAGCGCCGAGAGATAGCGTCGAGACAGCGCCAAGAGATGACGCCGGGATGATGACGCCGGATGGCGCCTCCACCAGGCGCTTGGCGGCGGCTTCGTCTGCATCATCACCCAGTTCCTGCACGCCCTCGCCGCCGAGCCCGCCGGTGGCCCCTCGTCTGCCGCCTCTCCAGCCGCGGCGAAGAGGGACGCGTCCATGACGTGTCCGCCCCCCCCCCCCCCCCCCAGGCGTCCTCGCTTGGGGCCTCACCATCGGCCTCGCGCTCCCCGCCACGGTGCTCTGGAACGCGGAGTCCGGCCGCGGCGGCGCAAAGGGCCTCGTCCGCTACCCGACGGCCCTCGGCCTGCTCGGGCAGCTGCTGGGCATCTCCGTCGTCTTCCCCGCGCTGTGGCTGCCAGCCGCGGCCTATGGCAAGGGGAGCGGCGCCGTCCGGCCCGCGCGCGCGTACGCGTCAATCGCGCTCGCCGCGCCTTTCCTCTCCCTCTCGGTGGCCGGCGCTCTTCGGCCAAACTCGCCCACGAGACGGCCCGCGTGAGCCAACGCCTGTATGAACAGGTGGCGCTCTTCGCGCTCGAGCCAGCGAGCCGCGCGTGGACCGTCTGTGCCGGCCTGCTCGGCGGGCCGGGCGCCGCCCTCCTTTCAGCAGCGTCTCTTCACACCTAAGCTGTGAGCAGGCTTGCTCGGCGGGCCGGGCGTCGCCCTCCTGCCCCTCCTCCTCAGCCTCATCCCCGCGCCGGCGGCGGAGCAGGCCGCCATGCCCGTGCCATGCACACGAAGATGGACGGCGTGAAGCCGGCCTCACCCCGCCTCACCCGCCTCGCCCTCCACCTCGCCTCGCCTCGCCTCGCCTCTCCTCACTTCACCTCTTGTCGCGCCTCTTCTCACGTCGCCTCGCCTCGCCTCTCCTCGCCCTGGGAGCAGGCGGCCGCCGGTGCGAGGGCGCTCTCGCGGGCCTACGCGGCGGCGGCGGCGCTGGCCTTTGTGGGCTACGCCGCCAACCTCTGCCTCGCCGGCCTCGCGTTTGGCTCTCCCCGCGCCGCGGTGGGGGCGCTGTGGGCCGAGGCGCCGCCCGCCGTCGCCTTCATGTCGATCGACGCCGGCGTGCTCTTCCTCGGGCGAGCCGCTCCGCCCCTCTCCTTCGGCCGGCATGCGCTCCGAGATGCGGCGGGAGTGAGGCGAGACGGCCCGGGGTGTAGGCTGCTGCTCCACCTCGCGTCGACGTCGCCGGCCGAGGCGCTCGCTGCGCTCCTCGCGAGCCCGCTGGTCGGGCCGGGGGCGGCGTGCGCGCTAATGCTCTCCCGGCGCGAGGCGCGGCTGGGCGAGGCGGCGGCTGGCGAGGCGGCCGGCGCCGGCGAGACCAAGAAGCTGGCGTGAAGAGGCGCGGGTGCTGCGGCGTGTGTGTTGTGGGGTGAGAGGGTACGTACGGCTTCCCCCTCCGCACCATGGCTGCTCACCCATCTGCATCATCCGCGGCCTGGGGCCCCGGCGCGCCGGCCGCCCCCCTGGGAGCGCGGCGGGGCGGGCCGGTTCGACTGCATCGAGTGTATTGAAGGCTGTTGCTGCTCTTGCTTGCTTGCGAGGCCCTGCTGCGGCTCGCTCGTGTCGACCAAATCGTCGCCAAAAATGTCGGACGTGCGCGATCATACGTTTCACGTCTCTCTCTCCTGCGCCGCGCCATACTCTGTCTCATCGTTCTCATCTGCGCGGCTCATCCTGCGAGCGCCGCATCTGGCACTTGGAGCACTTGGAGTGCAGTCGGCAACCTCACATCCAGGGCCGGGGAGCTAAGAAGCACTTGGAGCACTTGGAGTGCAGTCATCAACCGCACATCCAGGGCCGGGGAGCTCAGAAGCGCACCCAGCGGGCCGGATGATTGGCATCGGGTTGCGGGCAAGAGAGCCCTAGCCCCGGGGGTGCGCGTTCGCAGGGCAAGGGCCTTAAAGAAGCCGCTGCGATTTCTCTGTTCACATGGACCACCAAGAACTGGCACGGGCTGCAGATGCAGCGCTTGTCTGTCGTCCTCCACACCGCCGTGGCGTGGCAGACGGTGAACGAGCTAGCGTGCGGGGAGAGCGGCATTGTGCATGGTGCGGAGTGCATTGCCGTTCTTAACGGAGTCGCTTAGGCGGCTCCGGTGGTGAGCCTGTGTGTGTGCCAGTCCGCGCCAGTCTGCGCCCTTGTCGTGCCAGTGTGCTGTGAGAGAGGCTTGCATCTTAAGATTTCTCTGTTCCAGAGCCGCTGACCGACGCTCCGCGATCTACGAGCCCCACCGCACCCTGCGAAGGTCCGTGTCGTCCTCGATGTTCCTGCTGGCCGCCGGCTCGCCCGCCCTGGTGGCGGTGACAGCGACGCTACGGCGCGCGGCGGCCGCGCGCCCCCCTCCCCGCATGGCGGAGGCGATCAGTGAGGCGCTCAGCGAGCTCTGCTTGCTCCTTCCGAGCGCCGAGTTCCCTGGCGACGCGCCCGCGCTCCTTGCCGGCGATGCCGAGGTCGAGCTGGCCGAGATGGAGGACTCGTGCGAGTCGCGCTCGCAGCTCCACCTCTGCTCGGACGGCAGGGTGAGCGTGGGCCAGACGGACGGGCCTCCGCCAGTCTCCACGTGCGGCGTGTGGCAGTGCGGCAGCGACGAGTTCCAGATGGTGATCCAGCGCACCTTCGCGACGCAGCGCTTCGGCAACTACCGAATCACGCGCGTCTACCGCGGGGCCGTGAACCCCGACAGCTCTGGCATCAACCTGGTCCAAGGGCAGATGGGGTTCCACCCCGACGCGATGGAGGACGAGCTGCCGGCGGGCCGGACGGGAGGGCTCTTCGAGGAGGTGGCGCGCTCTCCTGCCCTCGCACTCTCCGGCGGCCGTGGCTCCCGCCTGCTCACCACGTTCCGCCTCGCGGCTCTAGGATGGGTTGGGCGGCGCCTCGGCCATCGGCTTCTTCTCGATCGACGGCAACACTTTGGCGGAACTGGAATCGGACACCCGCGTCTCTAGCAGCTAGGAGCTGGTGTTGTTCAACGTTGTGAGCGGGCGGAGGGTGCACTACATGACACATCAATACCAAAGGAGAAAAAAGGTTTGCAGGGCCGGGTAGACCGAGGTGTCCGTTTTTATTTATTTATTTATATGAGGACCCGTTTTGGTTTTTTGGGACTCTTGGAGGGGCGACGATATCGAGTCGAGTCGAGTTACGGTTCTGCACGATACCCCTTTACCCGCAGCAGAGCACGAGCACGGTCGAGCACCGTGGACGTGCACACACGGGTGTTCACACGAATCCCGCCATTCCCACGTTCACGATAGGCACACGCTCGAGACGATAGGGGCTTAACGGCCCACACAATTCGTGGTTATTGGAACGTACGGCAGGACCATCGGGTCCTTCAGCCACCAAAGCGAGATCACCCGAGAGCAGCTCCAGCTGAGCCTGCCTCTGGCCTCGCCTCCCTCTCCTTCAGGCATTCGTGGCATCCTATGGGTCGTCCAGAGTATCGACCTCTGGCTTGTCAGCCGCCCCCCACCGAGGGCACCATGAAGTGTAGCGATCGCCATCTCGCTGGCCTCTCCGCAGGGCCCCCCGACCGCGTCGAACTCATCGGCGCGGGCTCTCTCGGCTACGGGACCGGCCCAGCTTCGGCTGAGGGCTAACAAGCTGCCGAGCCCAAATCACTGTGAGAGTCGTGATTTCTGGTTTGGTTTTCAAAAATCTCTCTCTCGTACCACGTACGGCTGCACAATCGGTGGGAGGGGAATAAATAAAATAAATAAAACGGACACCTATCTACTGTGAGATGGGTAAAAAGGAACAGGTCCTGTGGAGGGGAAGAGGCGAGCGGCGTTTTGAAAAACAGAAAAAGAAAACAAGCTCGCGCAGAAAACAGTAACAGACCACACCACACACTATCAACGGGGGCCAAGGATGGGGCGCGGGGAAGCAAAAAAAAGAACGACGGAATTTTTTCTTTCCAGCGATCAAAACTCGTTTTTATGGCGGAGGGGGCCTGCAGCACCGTCTCCGTCTCCTCGTCCGGCGCGGCCTGGGTCGCAGACGTGCAGGACTGCTCTCCCGTAGCCACTTCCTACCGCCCGCCCGTCGTCTGCATCGCCGGCCTCCTCGAGCCTGCGCCGGGCCTCTGCGAGCTTTTTCTGCCGGTGCTAGCCGCAAAGCTCGACCGACGCGTCATCTTCCTGTCGCGCCGCACAAAGCCATGGCTTCGGAGCGTCACCGAGGCAGCCTACGACCTCTGCGCCGCGCTGCGAGCGCTCTCGCTCGAGCGGTGCGTGCTGTTAAGCGACGGCCACGGTGCAAACGTAGCGATGCGGACTGCGGTGTGCGACCCGACCCGCGTTCTCGGGCTTGTGCTCTGCTCGGGCGCCTGCCGGCCAGAGGCGATGCCGGAGGAGCCCACGCTTGGCACCACTGGCACGTCCACGAACCTTCCTAAACCTTCTCCGGAACCTTTAGGCGCCTCCGCTCGGGCCGGGCGCTGCCGCTGGCTTTGTGGGGCGGACGCTGCTGCTGTGGGGTAGCGACGACGAGAGCAGCCCTCTCTCGGAGCAGCTCGACCTCCTCAGGCTGCTCAAGCCTCGCGCGGAGCTGAAGACGATTGACGGAGGGACTCACGCGCTTCTGTGGCAGCCGGACAAGGTGGACGAGGTGGCGGCAGCCGCAGCGGCGTTCGCTCGCTCCCTCGACGGTCGGTGGAGGACGTCGCTCGACTGGCCAGCAGTGGCGCCGGACCGACTGCACGCCTTCTCCGCCGCCGCCGCCGCGTCGCTCGAGGAGGTGCGGCGCGGCGAGGGTGAGACGACTGCGGCACTGCTGCGCCGGCTCCGCGACCGAGCGGCGAGCTGTGGCCCGCCCCCTCCGCCAACCGACGGCTCGAGCCGCACCGTCGGCCAGGTCCGCGCTGTGCTGGGCCGGCTTTCTCAGGCGCAGCTCCGCGGCTTGGCGGGGACCGTCGAGCACCCTGTCGACGACGGGGCGGCGAAGGAGCAGCTGGTGGAGTCGCTGCTGCAGTCGGCGCCGCTCGTCAACGCGATGCGAGCGCCGTCGCACGCGGAGGTGCGCCGCGCCGCCGACATCGCCCGCCGCGCCGAGGCCAAATTTGTCGAGCAGTTGGGAGGGTCGCTGCGAGCCGGCCGGGGCGCGCTCGAGGAGGCGGCGATGCCGTCGGCAGAGGCGGTGGCGGCGCGGCTGCGCGGCGAGAGGGAGCACCTATCTTCGCGGCGGGCGCGGAGGCTTGTCGAGACGGAGAGCCTTGAGGACCTTCGCGCCGACTGGCGCGAGTGGCTCGACGGGTACGAGAAGCGGTCGGCAGCGTGCCAGAAGCTTCGCGTCGAGGCGAGCCGGCTAGGCGGCGACGGCGCGCGCGTGGGCGCACCTGGCGCGGCGGGCGGCGGCGACGCCGCGGCTCGGCCGCCAGCACTCCTCGACCCGGCCTCTGGCGAGCCCCTCGTACAGGACGACGTCTGAGGGCGAGGCGAGGTAGTCCAATTTTGCGCACACGTAGCGAGGAACCGTGTGGATAGCACACATCACACCTGGGCCCACAACCATCCCGCGCGCCCGCCCCGCGCGCCGCGGCCGGAGAGAGAGGGCGGAGGGACAGCTTGAGGGACGGCAACAGACGAGTACCTCGCACTCCATGTGCGAGAAAAAACGCAGAGAGAATGAAAGCCTTCCAGCGCTCCTCTCTCCACGTGGACCGGAGTCGGCTAGAGCGCCAGTCTCTCGGTGTGTCTCTCCGTCGCGCGCTCGAGAAGCAGAAGGTCTCGCGGCGCACACTCACGCCGCGGGAGGGTCGTTGCGGCAGGAGTGCGGACCGGTGAGCCGGTGAGCGGTGTCCTCACAGGTAATACCCGGGGTCCCGCTCCCGGAGTGATTAAAAGAGGTGAATCAGTGATTTGTATTGCTAAACGAATCTCCGCTCTCTGACCTCGGCTGATCTCGAGTGACCTCGACACCTCGTGTGAGTGTGACCTCGAATGGCTCGCGGGGGCGCGAGAGCGTACGCACATAAAATCTCAAGGTAGTCTCCGGCGATCTCGACATTGTGTTCGACATTGGTCGTGGAAAGAGAGAGGGTGGCCTTGAAGAGGCTAGTGGGGAGATAGATGTGTGTGGGGAGATATGGGGAGATTTTGAAGGCGCGGGGAGCACATCGCGACGCGGACGGGGGCTGGGCAGCCGCTACCACCCGCCCGACCTAACGCCGGCGGCGGGGGGAGCTCATGCCTCCCCCCAAACCCGAAGGCGAAACTCGAGCAGCTGTAAAGCGAGCCCGCGAGGCGTCTCTTCTGGGCACCGACCCAAGAAGCAGGTCACTGGCATGCCTGCGCCGCCATCGAACCAGGTGGGCCTCGCTCTCTCTGCGGATGGGAACGAGGGCTATCGCGTGGCGTGGTCGAATGCTGTGCGGCGGTACCGTGCAATCCGCAACGCCAAAAAGCAGGCCGAGACGGCAGCGGCGGCGGAAGCGGCCGCTGCACCAAAGGCAAAGCCCAACTTCGAGCGGCAGGGCTCCAGCCGTCTGCAATTTGGAGCGCTTGTTGTGGTCGCCTCCGCGTCGCGTCGGGAGATCGAGAAGGAGGGCACGGACCAGATTGAACAACCTGAGCTCTTTGTTCCCGCCAAGAGCGTGCCTGTGCTGACAAAGCGGAAGTCGGAGGAGGAGATCTCCGCGGGAGTGACGCTGAAGCGCCTTTCCCTGGGCGCCTGACAGGCAGCGGCATACTAGTGCATAGTCGTCCAGTGCGAATCTCCACGCGAGGGCCTCGGCCGCCTGCCAGCGCGGCAGCCCCTCTACGCTCCCGGGAAGGCTGGGGTCCGCGTCGCGTCCATACGTGTACGTGTACTCTCCGCAGCAGCAGCGACTCCCGCACCACGCCATGAGTAGTAAGCAGTCGTAGTCGTAGACCTCTCTGGATGAGGTCTCGCCGACTCGGTTTTGGTGGTGTTCCAGGAGTTGGAGTTGCGGCTGACTCATTGCTCGATGGCCTCCCATGAGACGTGCACATGCTCTGTGAGGTTGTGTCCGTGCCTGTTCGATATTGTTCCAGGGTTATTTAGCTACCGAAAGGAAGAGAGAGGAGGGAGGGAGAGAGAGAGAGAGGGAGAGAGAGAGTCTCAGTAACTCACAGACTGAGAGAGAGGAGAGAGAGAGAGAGTAGAGAGAGAGAGAGAGGAGAGAGAGAGAGAGAGAGAGAGAGAGAGACTCCGTCACTCCGACGTCCGAGAGCTGAGACGTGAGAGAGCCCGGAGCGGCGAGAGAGCTTGAGAGAGAGAGTAGAGAGAGAGACTGGAGAGAGACGAGAGCTGAGCCTGAGAGAGGCAGAGAGCGGAGAGAGTTGATCTCGACCGAGATAGAGCGAGAGAGAGAGTCAGAGAGATTTCGGTGCGGTGTGTTGTGTGTGTCTGTGTTAAACAAGGACGATTCGCCTAGAGCCCGGTAGAGGCTACGGCTTTAGCATCACAGATTTCTCGGTGGCGCATAAAATCATGGGGGTCCGGCCCACATGAGCCATGTGCCATGAGGGTTTTACACTTCCATTTTGGAAAATGACAACGGGTGGGTGTCGTAGTCGTCTCAAAAAAATTACACTTACGGGCCCAACTTGCCTCTTGCGGCCAACTTGGACTCCAAAAATAGCATGGTCCAAAATGCTTTGGCTGTAACGTTATACAGTGTCTCGCCTTTTTTTACTCTCCCTCGCGCCGGCGCCTCAGGTCGCCGGCCCACTGCTTGTCACACGCAAATATCTCACCTCTCGGACGCGCACCTGTTTGCACGTCCAAGCGCATCGAGTCCCATGGGCAGATGATTGCACACGGAGCGCAGCGCGGGGAGACGGAGAGCTTCCCCTTCGCCCAATCCGCCCCTTCTTCCCCCTCCGCCTCCTCTCCCCCCGCACGTCACACCAGCGTCTTTTGCGGCACACCGTTTGCGCGCGCCAGCCACGGGGAGACGCCGTCGCCGTTTACCTTTCGGCGCACCGTCTCGACGTACTCGAGGGAGGGAGGATGTGTAGTGCGGGTCGGCGCAACAACCTCCTCGTCCACTCCTGCAGCTGGGCGGGCGGATCCTCGGATCGCATCCACCGACCCCTTCACCCACGCCGCCACGGAGTCGAAAGCGCGCGACGCCAAGTCAACGGCCAGCCCGTTCCCCGGCGGCAAACCGCGCGCTGAGCCGCCTCCGAGCCCGCCGCCTCCGACCCCGCGGCCGAGCAGTCCGACGCCGTCGAGCTTGCCTCCCTCCTCCTCGCCGAGCTCGCCTGTTGACAGCGGCCTGACTTTGGGCGCGGATCGAGCGTGCCGCTCTGCCCCCCCCTCGCCGGGCTCGCCGCCGCCGCCCTCGCCCTGCGGGAAGAACTTGTCGTACGGCCGAGCGTTGCGCGAGTCGTACCCGCGCACGCGCGGAGGCAAGAAGGAGACGCAGCAGCAGCCGAGCGCCTTGCCGTCGAAGTGGCCCTCCACCTTGACGCAGCAGCAGCCAAACGCGTATGCCCCCTCCTCCACCTGACGCATGGTGGCTGGCTAAACTCAAAACGAGGCGTTGGAGGCATGCGGAGACATGGGGAGATATGGGGAGATATGGGGAGATAGTGCCGCGTCAGGGCGTGGGCGCCCCTCCCCGCGCCTGCGCGCAGCAGCGCATACAGAGCAGCACCGAGATCGCCACGCCTGTTCACAGCTAGAGGTGTGAAGAGGCGCCGTTCACACCATGCAGAGCAGCACCGAGATCGCCACGCCTGTTCACAGCTAGAGGTGTGAAGAGGCGCCGTTCACACCATGCAGAGCAGCACCGAGATCGCCACGCCTGTTCACAGCTAGAGGTGTGAAAAGGCGCCGTTCACACCATGCAGAGCAGCACCGAGATCGCCACGCCTGTTCACAGCTAGAGGTGTGAAGAGGCGCCGTTCACACCATGCAGAGCAGCACCGAGATCGACACGCCAAAGAGGAGGAGCCCTGCCGCCGCCGCCGCGCAGAGCAGCTCGCGCTGCGCCGCCGCCGCCGCACTCATCTCCGGCAACACCACCGCGAGCATGCGCGGGAGACTGTACGCCAACCCCCACGCCTCACCCGCCTCACCGGCCGGCGGCGAGAGCAGCTCGCGCCGGCCGCCGCCGCCGCCCAGCCGCCGCCGTTCCGAGGCCGCAGCTCCGCCCTCGGCGCCGCCGCCGCCTGCCGACCGGTTCGCGGGAGGAGAGCTGTCGCCAAAGCAGAGCCGCCGTGCGATGCGTGCCGCGGCGGCCTCGGCGGCGGCGTCGACGGCGGCGGCGAGCTCCACCGACGCGAGCTCCGCCCGGCGCAGCGCATCAGTCGGCGTCGCGCGAGTCAACGCGAACGTTCCGCTGCAGGCCTGATCAGCGATGCGTGGCTCGTCAGACCGCTGCGTCGGGACTGCTGCTTTCCACACCCGGCGTCGCGGCGCACGCACCTCGGTGCTCACCCCCCCGGCGGCCGCCCCCGGCGGCGGCGGCGGCCCGCCCCCCTCCCCCTCCCCACCTCTCCCGTCGGGAGGCACGTCGAGGTTGACGAGGAGCGAGACGTGGCCAAAGGCGGAGAGGCGGAGGGGCGCCGACGTGGGCGCCTCGTCCAAGCGCCTGCCCTCCTCTCGGGAGGACGCGTCCAAGGACGCGTCCAGCGACGCGTCCAACCGGCGGCCCTCCCCAGGAGCGGGATAGCTCCACAGGATGCCCGCCTGTGCGGCCCACCAAGGCGCGGCGCCGGAGGAGGAGAGGGAGAGCGTCGCCTCGGACGCGAAGTGCCACGCCTCGACCGTGGCGTAGAGCACGTCCGGCATCAGCTGCGAGCGAGGCGCGCCTAGGAAAGGTTCTAGGACAGGTCCAGCACAGGTCCAGGACACAGGTCCAGGAGAGCTTCATCAGCTGCGAGCGCCGTCGCGCCAGCAAATCCGTGTCTGGATGGAGCCGCCGCGGTGGCTCAGCAGCCGCTCGCCGGCGAGGACGACTGACGCGGCCGCACCGGTCCCACTGAGCGCCGACGCGTGCGCCCCGCGCGCCGGCGCCGACGGCAGCGGCAACTCGGCGATGGCGTCGGCGACGGACTGGTCGAGCGTACGCCGCATCCATAGCGGCGGCGCCTCGCACGAGAGGGGGAGGGGGGCGCACTCACCGCGGCTCGCGGAGCCGTTCGCGGCCCTCTCGACGGCGCCCGCCACGCCGCCGCCAAAGCTGCAGGGCGGCGCGGCGGCGGAGGGAGGCTGGGCCAGGCTCCAAGCGAGAGCCGAGGAGAGGAAGTAGACGGCGGCGGCGGCGAGGCTGGCGGCGGAGAGGGAGTTGACCAGCGCGACGCCGGGCTGTCCCGCGAAGACCAAGAGGCCGGCTCGCAGCTTGCGGCGTAGCTTCCTCCGCTCCAGCACGCCAGGCGTGCCTGTGTCGTGCACGCCCGGCTCGAGGAGGGCGAGGAGGAGGGAGAAGGAGCCAAAGGCGCCGAGGAGGAGGCCTGCCGACCCTCCCCACTGCGCGCCAGCCTCTCGTGCGTCGCCCGCCCAGCCAAAGTAGCCTCGGAGGACCGGGTCCGACGGCAGCGGCTCGGGGTCCGAGGCGGCGGCGTCCGCCTCCCACTCGCCTCGCGGCGCGTAGGGTGCGTCCAGCGCCGCCTCGTCCGGAGGCGACAGCGCGACGAGCTGGCCAAAGAACGAACCGAGCAGGTAGCCGAGAGGGAGCAGCGCGGCGACGCAGCCCCACTGCTTGGCAGACAAGCCGTACACCCGCCCCCCCGACGCCGCGCCGGCAGGCAGCGGCTGCGGGAGCGCACCCTCGCGGGCAAGGATGAGAGCGGCAGCCAGCAGCCCGAGCGGCGCCTGTTCACAGCGGCACGGTGTGAAGAAGACGGAGGGTGCACCGAACTGCCTCCTCCCTGCCGGCTGCTGCCGCGGAGAGCGCGCCCCACCCCCCCGCCTCGGCGGCGGAAGAGGCGCACCCGTCGGGAGGCCCGAAAGGCAGAGGCCACGCGCCGGTGACATTGTGCACCTGCGCGCTGAAGACACCAGTGTTGGGCGGGGAGACGGCGTTGTGGTGCAGAGTACTCAGAGCACCGCGTGGATACGAGGGGGTACGACTCCAGGGAGTACAGCGAGATGCGGCTGAGCACAGCGGAGTATGCCTCCTCTCGAGCGCTGGTTGGGATACAAGAGTGCGGATCCCGCTTCTAGGGTTCTGCACCGCCGCGGCGTCGGGTAGCGTGGTGGTTGTGGTCGTGACGGTGGTGAAGCTGCCGCTGCCGTCCGAGGTGGTGGAGGAGGTGGTAGAGGTGCTGTTGGCGGCCGGGAGGCTGGCGCCGCACTGCGCGAGGGCGGCGAGCTGCAGGCCGCCGCCCGCCGCGACGCAGAGGGCGAGGGCGATCAGGGCCTTGTTGCGTGCCTCTGGAGGGACTTTTCGCAGCGCCTGGAGAGGGCTGGAGCCGCCGCCGCTCGAGCCGCCGCCGCCAGGGACGCCGAGTGCGCGGGAGCCGACGCCGCCGCGAGAGAGGGGAGGGAGCTCGCCGCTGGCGCCGACCTCGGCGGCAGCGAGAACCCGGGAGGCTGCCAGCAGCGGCTTCTGAGCCGCCGCAACACTCTCCTGGTCCGGCGAGTCGCCTAGCCTGCTCGCCGGCGCGGCGTCGCGCGAGCCGAGGTCTGGCAGCGCGTCGCCAAAGGTGACCAGAAGCGCATCGCCGTCCTCCAGGTCGTCGATCGACGTGACGCGTGTCCCGTCGCTGAGGAAGAGATTCAGCGCATCGCCGCTCGCGGCCGGGCAGCCGAGGGCGTGCCGAGCGAGGAGGAAGAGGTCCGGCAAGCCGGCGCCCGCACCGAGGACTGCAGCAGTGCCCGCCTCCGATGTGGAGGGGCCCTTGAGCCGGAGGAAGAGAGGACGCGCCGGCATAGCCAATGCAGGCGCCTTGCGGATCCCGAATGGACATATTTTTTCTTGTTTTTAGTTCAGGTAAGGTAAGGTAAGGTAAACTTCTCCACACACACGAGGTGGTGGGGCAAGGGGGGGCAACCCTCGCGTCTCCACGTCTGACGACAGGAGCCCCACGGCATTCAAAGTGCAAGGCCCAGTGCGCGTGGGTGAGCGGTGTGTGTGTGTGTGTGTGTGTGTGTGTGTGTGTGTGTGTGTGTGTGTGTGTGTGTGTGTGTGTGTGTGTGTGTGTGTGTGTGTGTGTGTGTGTGTGTGTGTCACGTCACTGCATCCTCCGCCGGTTCCTCCCGTCGCCTCTTCTTTGTTCGAATGTTTTTCAATCCATCCTTCACGAAGCCCTCCCATGTAGCTAGCGTTCTTGGCGAATGTCTCGAAATGGCCAGCAGGCGCTGTCTGCTCGCGGTCTGTGCGGGCCGCTCGTCCTCCTCGCCCTTCTTTCGTCCTCCCGTCCCTCCCCTCCACCATGGCCTTCTCGGCACTTCTTTCTCCATCCGCCTCGCCCTGCCTTTTCGCATCGTGCCGTTCGCCCTCCATTCGGTGACCTCCATGGCTGTCCGCCCCTTTGTGGGTGGCGCTCTCGATACGGTTGCGTCAACCTCGACGTCGCTGTCGCCCTCCCCGTCCCCGCCGGCGTCCGTGCCTCGGTTCGCGTCATCGGTAGCGTCTCCGTTGTTCCCTCGTGCCCCGCCGTCGCCCTCTCTGCTCGGGCCGTTAGCGATTTCGCTCCTCCTGCGTGTCGCCCCTCCGTCCCCTCCCCTTTCTTCGTCGTCATCGTCGCTGTCGCGAAAGCCCTCCGGTCCCTCGATTCCCTCGCTTATCCCCTCCGCTGCGTCGTCCCAGTTTATATCCTCATCCTCTGCGCACGTCGCGTTGGCTTCCTCTCTCCCCCTTTCCTCCCTGCCCCTCTCGCTGTCTGGTGTTAATGGACCCCCTTCCTCTCCCTCGCCACCGTCACCGTCTCCATCCCCGTCGCTACCGCCCTCCATGCCCGCCGCCCTTTGTTTCACACTCGTCTCTGCCATGTCCGCCGTCGCCGCCGTCCTGTCTGCTGCGCTCTGTGCTCCGTGGTACAGTCGCTTATTGTTGCTCAGGATTAGCTCACGCACCAGGACAGCCTCCTGCTCGTTATTTTGGCTTGCCGATATGCATCCAAAGTTCCACGCTAGCTCCTCCTTCGTCACGTCTATCTTTTTGCAGTATCTCGCGAATGCCGTCCGCGCTTGCTGGGGTGTTATTGCGTTCGGATCCGCCCTGGTCCCCGCCCTGTATCCCATCTCCTTGCGGTGGCTCCTGTATGAGTCCCCATATGACCATGTGATTTCTTGGCCTTCCTTGACTCCCCTCTCTGCAAACAGGACCATCACCTGCGCAGCTGCCTTGCCTAATTGTATCTCCTCGTAGCGTACGAAGTGCGTCGCCCTCGTGCCTCGTTTCGGCTCATTCGATGCTGCAGGCCAGTCGAAGTTACAGCGCGCCGCGACGCTGTCAAAGTCGTCCTCGCTCTCGTCGTCACTTCCATCCAGCTGCGTCCCCCCTGCTGCCGTGTGTCGTGACAGTTCGGCTGGTACTGTCTCTGGTGGCTGCGCCGTTCCTGTCCGGAAGATCTCCCCAGTGTAGATGCTACACACCTCGAATTTCTCTAGCCTCCTCGTCGCCAGTAGGCCGAGTTCCCCTTCCGCTATGCCAGAGGGGCCTACCTTCGCCCCTTCCACCGTGCCGCCCGTCGTTAGCATGGCCGTCGTTACTTTCGCCGCCGCCTCTGCTGCTTGTCGGCGGAGCGCCTCGCGCCTTCCCTCGTCTCCATGCTCCTGGTCTTGTTCTTTTTGTTTTCCTGCGCTTCCTGTCGCTGGTCCGGCGACGTATCTTGCCGTCTGCCTTCGCTTCCTGGCGGGCCGCGTTTCCTTCCCCTCGTCCCGTCTGTTTTCTCCTGCGTGGTCGCCCTCGCGTGCGCCGCTCGCCGTCTGTTCTCCTCTCTGCTCGCCGTCCTCGTCCCCTCGCTGTCGTCGCTTCCCTCCGGCGCTCGCCGCATCGTCGTTCCTATCACCGCGTTTCCTGCGCTGGCCTTCGCCTTCGAGCTCGCAGTGGGTCGTTTTGAGTGTCATCCCCATCGCTCTCGTCGTTCTGCCTCTCCCCGCTTCGAGGCGTCTCTCTGCCTCTTCCCTTTCCTTCTCCTCGGCATCACGTTGTCGATGTCGCCTCCGTCGCCAGCAAATACACGCATTCGCCGCCCACTCCATTTCTCGTATCCTCTCCTTCCTTTCCTTCTGTCCCTCTCTCAGGCGTTCTGTTTCCGCGGCTACTCGTTCCTTCCTCTCCGCCTCGAGTCCCTTCCTCTTCCCTTCCCGTACTTTGATTATTGATGCCGCCGTCTGCTGCAGTGCCTTGAGTGAAGTCACCACCCGTGTGTCATACTCCCTCATGATGTCTTCTGGCGGGTCCTGGTCCATCACACTCGGCTCGGGTAGTCGTCCAGCTAGCAGTTGCTCCATCGCCTCCCATTCCTCGTCGCTCTCCCTTCTCCCCGCGCATCTCTTCGTCGCCCCAGCAATGGCGCGTACAGCGAGCGCCTGGGCTTCGCACTCTGCGGTGTGGGCGAGTGTCCGTTTTTAGTTCATGTTTCTGGTTCTCGAGGTTCTCGAGGTGGATATCCTTTGGCCGCGTTGGGTAGCTCAAGGCCGTCCTGGCTCGACCTGGGGCCCGAGACGCACCCCCTCCCCGAACACTGCTGCTATAGTGCTACGGTACGTGCTAGCGGACCAAGCCGAACACTGAGCTGCAACCGCGACCGCTGCCCTGTGCCTGTAAACAGCCTGCTATGGGGCTCCGCGGAGGAGCTGCTCCCGCACGAGCATCAACGCCTGTCCAAGTAGGTTCTTTCCCGGCCACGTGGCGGGATCTCGTTCCAGTGCCTCCTGAACCCCAAGCCCGATCCCCCAGATGGCATCCATCGGGCTCGCCTCCACGAGGAGCTTGCCTGCTGTGGCGAGCAACACGGCCTTGAGCTCGGCATTCTGTTCGAATTTGGCCCGGTTGCCTGCCGTCACGATGCGCAAGGACTCTCTCTCCCACGTGGACTCGTCGAAGTTTCGTAGTGTACCCTTGGCGCTCGCCAGCCTCTTCTGCACTGCCGGGTCGAGCTCAGTGAGGATCTTGGCGCGCGTATGCATGTCCCCAAACAGCTGCGCCTTCTCTGACATCATGTACTGCTCGGCGCAGTTGTACCACTGCCCATCGACTTCGAAGCGGCACGGTGACCACTGATCAAACGCACTGAGAGGCTTCCAGAAGAAGACGTGTGCCTCTGTCTCTGTCACAGCACTGAACTGCGGGTGCTTCCGCATCTTCGCTACGAACTGCTTGGCCGCGAGAAGCCGCTTCGCTTCCCATGCTGGCGGAGGCCAACTCGGGCTGCTCAGCTTTGAACCACTGCTGCCGTCGGCCGACGACCTGAGTGCCGGGCTCGTTTCGGCCGTTCCCTCGCCGTCGCTGCCCTCGCCGCCACCCTCACCGCCGCCGCCCTCACCGACGCCCTCGCCTCCGTCGCCATCTCCTCCGCTGTCCTCGCCGCCAAACTCTCCTCCGCCGCCCTCGCCACGGCCCTGGATCGGTCCAGGAGCGAGCTTCTGCTCCTCTGGTTGCATCAAGCGCAGCCGGACAAGGTCCTTCGCAATGCACCGCGGCATGTACTGTCGCTCCGTCGGTAGTTGTGCGCGCAACACCTCCATTGCAGCGCGCACGTCCTTCGATTGGTGGGCATCGCCGACGCGACGCGCGAGGGCACTCACGTCGACAACCGCGAGGATCGAGCGCGCGAAGCGTTCGGAGAGCTCGCGCGAGAGGCCGATCTGGATGGCACGCTCTCGAAGCATCTTGCGAGGCTCCGTGGACTTGCCCTTTCCCTCGCTTGAGTAGATGTCGCGCGCCGGGTCCCACTGAACACGGCCCTTGCTCCCGCCGCCACCGTGCGTGCAGGCGCACGCTTCGAGCAGCGACGCCACCTCGCTGTGTGGCAGCTTGAGCTTCAGCACGCGCTCCTGGCCGTGCTTTGCGGAGTAGCCACATCTATAGAGCATCCACGCAAACGAAGGCTTGATCCAAGTCATCCTCGTCGTATTGAAGAGCGGGCCGCCGAGGGTGCCGTGTTCCACCGCCCAGTCCGCGATGCCTTCGTTGTACGCCTGATAAAACCAGACGCCTTCGTCATCGTACTCCGCCGACAGCGTGTATGCACTGGTATCGTCAGCTCGCAACGCGTGAGCTCGCACCGCGGCCGCTCGCTGGCTGCGCTTGCTGGGTCCGCGCTTGCCACTCATGGTGTCTGCGTCGTCCTCGCCCTGTGCGCTGTGGTCCTGCCGTTGGGCCACGCCTGTCCGCGTCAACGACACGTCCACACAAGGGTACGTTCTTCTCCTCGACTTGTTCCACTTCTTTCACATAATATAGAGATTCAATTCTCTTCCCCCTCCTCCCTCTTCACACTTCCGCTCGTGGTGGGCCTGCCGCCGCAGCGTCCGGCGCCGGCATCGATCGCTGCCAAGGGGGGGGCCGGGCGACAGGGGTGTCAGGTGTCAGTCAGCGTCGTCCCAAATGGTCGTCCCACAAGAGGTAGAGTACGCATCCGCCCCGGGCCGCATTTCGAGAAGTCTCCCAGTGCCATATTCCCCGCCCTCCGACGTGCAACGAATCGCAAAATCCACGCAAACGGGAAAAACGCGGCAAAAGACCGGAGTCGAGAAGCTCGAACACCGGCTCGCGCCGCGCGACATCTCTCTCGTCGTGTCTTTGTATAAGATATTGTCACCGATTCGCGCAGGCCCCAGCCCAGGCCAGGCCAGGGGACGGCCCCCAGGCCCAACCCCGCAGCAGTGCGGGGAGAGGCGCGGCCCGCGCCACCGGTGGGCGAGAGACGAGGGGCACACCAATCAACACGCGGTGTGGCAGCCTCGAGTGGCGCCACCGCACCACGACGCACCCACGCACGAGTTCTAGTCGGCGGTCCGCCCCCGTTTGGGGGCGGTGACTGTCCCTCCACTCCCCCGCCCTCTAGATTGGGGCTCCTCTGCCCCTCCCCCCCCTCCCCCCCCGTCGCTACTCCTTCTGGGCGGGTTTGGGGAGGGAGAGGGTCGCGAGGCCGAGGCTGATTGCGGTGGTAGCGGCAAAGATGCCGTAGGAGCTCGTGCGCATCAACGAGTTTGTGAAGCTCTTTGAAGAGACATCAAAGACGTCCCACACCTGCAGCCGGGGTGGGCGGTGCATGGGGGAGGGAGTTCTGGCCGGAGAGGATGCGCCGGTCGAGCGAGGGAATTGGTAGAGGACGCGAGCGGGGTCACCAACTCACCATGTGGCGGGCGCAACCGACCCAGTGGTACACGAACGGCCACGACACAGCAAATTTGGCGGCAGGGAGCGTCACGCCGCCCTCCGGCAGGCTCTGTACCGCCTGCTCCAGCGCCCCCGCCCCACCAAACAGCGCCTGATGGGGGAGTGGCGCGCTGGTGGCGATTGCACGCGGGCCTTGAGCGGCCGATCGAGTGGACACACACACCAGAGCCGTCACGCCGACGATGTAGGCGTAGGCGATCCCTCCGGTGATGCGGACGGTGATAGAAGAGTAGGCTATCATGGGAAGCCGGTAGATCGTCAGGTGCGGAGAGAGCGGCCTACGAGCGAAGCGCCGACTCGTCAGCAGCGTCACGGCAGAGAGACCTCCTGTCTTCGGAAGAGAGACTTCAGCGCCTGCCCGTCTTGTCCTGCTGCTCGGTGTACGTTTCTGACGCGAGGCCGCGCCTCGGTGCGGAGCGGAGAGCCGACACGCGGGCCGCGGAGCGTGCCGCGGCGGCAGGGCGGAGACGGGAGAGTCGGCCGAGCATTCGTGTCGCCCTCACCTCCGCCACCTAGTGTACGTCCGGCGCCGGGCTAGGGTGAGAGGTGCCCATGAGGTACCTTGGTACCGAGCGAAAAAGAATTTAAACAAAACAACTCTGTCTCACAGCAGACAGGCTCGACACAATTTTAGGAACAAAAAGATTTTTTTCACCTCAATCGCCAGTGGATGTGGGAGTCCACCGCGCACCGCGCTGCGAGCCTGTCGTGTCCCTTGTCAGGAGCAGGAGAGCCCCACCTGTCCCCCTGATCGTTCTTCCAAAATCCTGCTCGTGCAGGTGGGGACCCTGTCCTCGTCCCATCCCTCGTCTGGCGTGTCTGTTTTCTTTCTTTCTTTTACCTCAATCGCTCATCTCCCGCCCAGCCAACTAACCAACAGCGGTCTCCACTACTCACACGGTCACGCGCCGGGCAGCGGGGTCGGGATGGGAAGTCCGAGCCGCTCGGCGGTCTTCCGCGCCTCCTCCAGCGAGATGAGCTGCACTCCCTTCCCGTCACGCAGTCGCGCCGCCCGCTGCCCGTCCGCAGCCCACGCGACGCCCTCGCCGACGTGGGCATCCTCCTTGTAGAAGCCAGTATCCACGTCGCCGTTGGCGTACCGGTAAACGCCGCCCCCCTCCCTCTGGCCCGCCCTGAAGTCGCCCTCGTAGACGTTGCCGTTGGCGAACCTAAACGCGCCGCGCCCCTCAATTGTATCCGCCTTGAACTCGCCCTCGTAGACGTTGCCGTTGGCGAGCCGGCAAATGCCGCGCCCCTCCGGCAGGCCCGCCTTCCACTCGCCATCGTATGCGTCACCATCGGCGCCCCGCATGACGCCCTTCCCCTCCATCATGCCCGCCACGAACTCGCCGTCGTAGACGTCGCCATTTGCCCACCTGTAGACGCCGCGCCCCTCCCTCTCACCCGCCTTGAACTCGCCCTCGTAGACGGCGCCGCTAGCCCACCGGGCGATGCCGACGCCATCCCTTTCACCCGCTGTCCACCCACCCTCGTACACCTCGCCGCTGGCGAACCGGTAGACGCCACGCCCCTCCTTCTCGCCCGCTTTGTACTCGCCATCATAGACGTTTCCGTTGGCGTACCGGAAGACGCCGCGTCCCTCCCTCGCACCGGCCTTCCACTCGCCATCGTAGATGTCGCCACCGGCGGACCGCCAGACGCCGCGTCCCTCGGGCAGACCCGCCTTCAGCCCGCCCTCATAGTCGCCGTGGCGGTACCGCATGGCGCCGTGCCCCGCATAACCGCCCTTGTCCTTGTCCGCTTCATCTGCCGCCGCCACTGCCGCTTGCACTGCCGTCCGAATCGCCGTTGCTTTGTCGGCCTCTGATGACGCCACAGCCGCTGCTGCCACTGCCGCTTCCGCTGCTGCCACTGCTGCTTCCACTGCCGTCCGAACCGCCGTTGCTTTGTCGGCCTCTGATGACGCCACAGCCGCTGCTACTGCCGCCGCCTTGTCCGCCTCTGCTGCCTTCAGCATGCGCAGCGCCTTGTGGAGTCGTGCGATGAGCCGCGACTTGGTCACCGCTGGTGCGTCGAGCACCCGGGACTTGTACCAGCGGAAGGCCGCCTGAACCCGCGTCGCCGACCTCTCGTGCAACAGCCGCGCCCGCTCGACGATGGCAGCGTGGCGGCGCGTATAGGCGGCGACTTTGCTGGCCGCTCTCCGCACCGCCATCAGCTGCCGCCTCGCAAGCAGCCTGCGAGCAGCGGCCTGGATCTTCGTCGCCGTGCGCTGCTTGCTATCGTAGCAGCACGCCGTGGCCTTGGTTCGCCACATAGCGTGAATGCAGCTTCGCAGGAACTTCTTGCTCGGGCGGGGGCTAAGCACCGCGCCACCTTCCTTGAACGTGTCCGCCTCGGCTGCATGGATCTTCTCGAGTGCCCGGCGCTGCCCCTCGACTATTGCCGCCATTTGCTTGAGTCGCTCAGCCATTTGCCGCTGCTGCTACAGGAGGAGCGAGGCGTCAGTGGTTGGCTCCTCTGCCGCCGTGTCTTGCGACGAGAGCGAGGCGGCGGGCTCTGAGGATCTTGAGGCGACGCTCGTGACGAGGGCAGAGCCAGGGTACAGAGCCGGGGTACAGAGCAGGGGTATATCTTTACAGGAGGGAGGAAATTCTTTTCTGACTTTTCTGAAAAAATGCGGTGCCTCCGTCTACTCTCTTTAAAGTTAGCTCAATATATTACCAAAGATCCCACATGATTCCGGTTGCACCGTTGCACCTTGTCCGTGGGTGGTAGGCTCGTCGCGAGGGGGCGCGGGGAAGCGCGCCGCAGCCTTGTGGCGCTCGTACTTGCCGTTGACGCGCTGCACCCAGCTCGCAAATGTCGCCTACCCCACACAACCAGCCGGCCCTCGCGCGGGCACGCACCCCGCGTCGATCTCGCGGCCGATCTCGCGGCCGATCTCGCGGGATCTCGCCTCCCGCACGACGACGCCCTCGAGCAGCGGCGACGGCGGCCGCCGCCGCAGCGCCGCCGGCGCGGGGCGGAAGAAGAAGGTCGCAGCCACCCGCGCGGCAGAGGCGTGCGCGCTGGGCTCGGCGACCACACGGTGGCGGGCGGCGCGGTAGCGCCCTCCGGTGATGCGGTCGAGCAGCGCGCCCACCTACGTGATAGAGTGCGACCACTGCTTAGGACGTGACTGCTTAGGACGTGACCGCCAGCCCTCTGCCGAGATCGCACACCCCGCCTGGGATGTGGCAGCCCAGGCTGAGTGTGTTGTGAGTTTGTGTGTCTGTGTGTCTGTGTGCCGCTCGCGCGTGTCGTCGTCTTCTGACCCGCGTCCACCAATACCGCGCTGGTGTCCAGTCCGAGCCTGTCTGTTCTTCGCCTTTCTATCAATCAATCCTCGTGCGCAACGCCCCCGTGTGTGCTCCGCGCGTGCGTGTGAGAGAGCCCGCATCTAGAGCCCCCACCAGCACCGTCGCCACGCCGTGTCCGTGCTCATTTGGGGCCTGGAGCCCTGTTCACGCGCGCGCGAGACGTGCAGACATATCACGGTCGATGGCGCCGATAACGACCTCCGGAAAGCCCTCACAATCGCTCGGCAAGGGGTCCACCGGGACAGTCTCGAGGCCTCTTCGTGGCATCACGAGCCGGTGTGAGCTTGGGGACCCGATATAAGTGCAGTTTGGGACAGCTCGGGCTTGGTGCTGATGGGCCTGGGCCAGGAGAGCGGCAGGGAAGGCGAGGTGGTGAGCTGGGAGCAGGAAATAGCGCTTCGTGGCACTTCATCGCGACAAGGTCACACGCAGACTCTCCAGCCTCCCAGCTCACCACCGCGCCGATTGCGCCGCCCGCGGGGCGGATTACCGCTACCGCTTCACACATGCGACTCCCCTAGTCGAGTACCGCGCCCGCTTCCCCGGGCCGAATCCAGGACGCGAGCGGTGCTCGCGACGACTCGCTCCCGTTGGGTGGCAGTCGAGACCATGAACCTCTCGCCTCACGGCTTCGAGCAGTCCCTCGCCTTCCGCCACGCGAGCAGCGAAATCTACTCTGCGCTCCTGTCTGCCGCTGATCGGGCGGCCGCCGGCGCCGACGCGGCGGCATGGGTTCTGGACGAGGACGTCCAGAGCCCGAGCGCGTCCCCGGACACCGCATCGCCGCGGCGTTCCTCCTTCCCGGCGATCGATCACGCCGTGGCGGCGCGGCGGCGGCGTGAGGCGGCGGCCTCCGCCGTGTCGACGCCTCCGCCGCGCAGCCGATCACGTCGTGGGGAGACGTCACCACGAGACGTCGTCCTCGCCGATGCGTTCCGCCGTTGGCGCGAGTCGCCACCGTCGCCGGCGCCCGCCCCGGAATTGCGGCAGCACCTGCCTTCCCTCTGCGCCGACGCGTGCCCCGCCCTCCCATCTCAGTCGCATCCACTCGCGCTCTCCTGCCTCGCTCGCGCTGCTGCGGCGCGGCAGCCTCGCTCGACGCTGCGCCGCGCCGTCCGCGTGTGGCGGGAGAGGTGCTTCGCGGCGGCGCGTGCGCGGCGGTCAGCGGCGCGGCGCGCGCGCTCGGCGGCGCTGCGCCGCGCGCTCGGCCAGTGGCGGCGGCGCGCCCGTTGGCAGGCAGGCTGGCAACGCCGGTGGAGGTGCAGGGCAGACCGGTGCGGCGGGGAGCGCTGCGTCCACTTGCCGTGCATGCGCACGCTCGAGCTGCGCGCCGTCTTCCTCGAGGCGAGAGAGGAGCCGAGAGTAGTCGCCGAGCTCACCCGCCCGCCGCCTCCCCTCGCTCTGCCTCTCTCTCTCCACCCCTCTCCCACACCGGACTCCCTGCTCAGGGGGGCAACGCCGCGGTGGGCGACGCGTACCGCCGCCGCCGCATCCTGTCGGTGGTGCTCTGTGCTTGGTGGAGGGCGGCCGCGAATGTGAGATGACGGCAAGAGCTGCCCCGCTGAGGCACGGTCCGGCGGCCTTGGTTGCTTTTATATCTCTCTCTCGGTTTGGCGTTTGGTGCGAGCGCGGCATGGCCACTGCCGCACTGGCGGTGTGTGTGCGGTTCGTTTCCTCTCGTTCTCTGCACGCGGCAGAACGGGCTCTTACGTCTAGCGGGGCTAGCGCTTACGCGTCGAGGCTCTATAAAACGACACGCGACCGACACATCGGACATCGATCACTGAGACACGAAGCATACAACAAGAGGAGAAAGAAGAGGACGGACATCAGTGATGACGAAACAGAAGCTAGCGCAGACGAGGGCAGGGCAGACCCGGGGACGGCGGAGTCGGAGCAGACGGCATCGGCTGCCGAGGAAACGTTGGGAAGAGGCACGAGGAGCGGGGCGACCTCAAGCTCAACCGACTATGGAGGACCCGTCACCAGACGACGCAGGGCGGACGACGGGGAGGCGGAGCAGACGCGCAGGGTGCGACGGTGTATCATTCACTTTATGCCACCGTTGCATATCCCGCTCCTCTACCTTTTCCTATCGTCAATGATAAACATTGGCTCGTGGCCCGTGTGGGCGCATACAATACTCTCGCTCGGGAGCCACAGTCGCCGCTTCGCTTCTGTACTCCACATGCAGACGTGTTCAGGGTGGGAAGAAAATCGCTTTCTGCGGCTGGACAGGTGTGTGGAAGGATATGTGGTTTGCTGCAAGTGCAATTCCTCCTCTGTTGAATTGCTGCTGCAGAAAGAGAGCTCTCCATCCCGGGCGTGTCGCGTG